AGGGCACAGCAAAGACAGGTCTAGACGTGGCGCCAGAGGAGCAAGGACTCCTTCCTGGCTGTCGGAGAAGTCCGGCCAAGGAAGGTGCCCGTTGGCATGGAGGCCAGGCAGTTGCCTGCCAAGAGATGCTTGCAGGTAGAAGCAGCCAGGTGTCCGGCTCCTGAGGACGTTCTGTACAGGCTGATGCCAACCTCTCCCAAACAGGCCCCGCAATGCCCTCCTGTGCCTTTGGATTGCTTTATTTGAAGCTGCCCTGGAGGAGCGTCGCAGGCCTTTGCAGGATGAATGGAATCTGGGGCAGAGAAAGAGGCCGAAGGGTTCACTCCGCCCGGCAACATCCAAACTGCCCTCCTCCCAGCTTCTTTTCTGCCCTTCCATTGCTCTGTGTTGAAGACCTCATTCCCCTGGCGAGAGAAGAGCCCCCATCAAGGGCAGCCCCCCCCCCTGCGAGGGACATGCCATGGCTGGCCCCAGCTGTGCTCTGATGACCTGTCAGGGATGTGCCAGTATTTTAATATCTGCTGCTGGAAACCTCCGGAGGGGAGAGCGCTGCCCTTGTGTTCGAATCCTGCTTGCTGGTTTCCATAGTGTTTGGCCACTGTGAGAAGAGGTGGCAGGTCTGGATGGGCCCCCGCAGGCCTGATCCAGCAGCTCTTCGGAGGTTCCGATGTTCTCAGCCAGGCTGGGGAAGGGCTGTCTGCACATTGCATTCCTCCTTATCTCTCCAGAGCCTGCCATCCCTTTGATGTGCTAATAGGGAGGAGGCCTGTTCTTCTCCTTGGCGAAGCCTGGGCACCAGGGGGCGTCTCCCGCCCCCCCAGGCCTTCCTGAGGTCAAAGGCAGCCCCCCCTCAATCTCATCAAGCCAGGGTTAATATTCAACCACAAATGACCAAAATGATGTTGCAACAACCGACGACCACAGTGTGATGCAGCGGCAAAAAAAGCTAATGCGATTCTAGACTGCATCAACAAGAGTATAGTAAAAAGGTATAGGTAAAGGGGACGCAGGTGGCGCTGTGGGTTAAACCACAGAGCCTAGGACTTGCTGATCAGAAGGTCGGCGGTTCAAAACCCCATGACCGGGTGAGCTCCCGTCGTTCGGTCCCAGCTCCTGCCAACCTAGCAGTTCGAAAGCACATCAAAGTCCAAGCAGATAAATAGGTACCACTCCAGCGGGAAGGTAAACGGCGTTTCCGTGCGCTGCTCTGGTTCGCCAGAAGCGGCCTAGTCATACTGGCCACATGACCTGGAAGTTGTATGTCGGCTCCCTCGGCCAATAGAGCGAGATGAGCGCCGCAACCCCAGAGTTGGCCACGACTGGACCTAATGGTCAGGGGTCCCTTTACCTTTACCTTTTAAAAGACCCCTGGATGGTTAAGTCCAGTCAAAGGCAACTATGGGGTATGGCGCTCATCTCGCTTTCAGGCTGAGGGAGCCGGCGTTTGTCCACAGACAGCTTTCCAGGTCATGTTGCCAGCAGGACTAAACTGCTTCTGGCGCAACGGGACACCGTGATGGAAACCAGAGCGCACGGAAACACCATTTACCTTCCTGCCGCAGCGGTATCTATTTATCTACTTGCACTGGTGTGCTTTCGAACTGCTAGGTTGGCAGGAGCTGGGACAGAGCAATGGGAGCTCACTCCATTTCAGGGATTCGAACTGCTGACCTTTTGATCGGCAAGCCCGAGAGCAGTGGCCTCGCAACAGGGGGGGCGGTGCGCCCCAGGTGCCATGTCTGGGGGGTGACAAAAAGGCACCCGCAAGGGCTCATGGCAGCACGAGCAGCCATCGCGCCTCCGCCGCTACATGTGGAGGATCCTCCGTTTGCGGCTGTAGCCGCAAGCAGAGGATCCTGGCGCTGGCGGCAAACGGCTATGTACAGCGCATGTGCAGCGTCACACGCATGCGCTGTACGTAACGCTGCTGCACATGTGCTGTACATAGTGGTTTGCCGCCCTGGGTGTCACAACGCCTTCGTTCTCCCCTGCTTCCAGCTCTGCCATTCTAGGATGACCTCTCCACCTCCTCCTCTCCAGGCTAAACATTTTGATGCAGAAGCTGCCTCTGACTTAACAGGTCTCCATCTTCCGCACGCAGCCTGGTAAATTAGAATTGCAAATATAATTCTTGCAGACGCATGCCGCTCTGGCGGGCAACTGACAGCATGCAAGGGCAGGCAGAAGGCGAGGGTTTCGGCAGGGCTGGGGGGGGGGCAGAGGCAGGTTCAGGACCTCTACCTTGATGCTGGCCCTGCCCTGACCCTGACGCTGAGCTGGTGGCCCCGGGGGCAAGGCATTAAGTGGTGGTAACATCATCACCAAGGAGACCTGCATCCCTGCCACGCTCCCCTCTCTCTCAGCAAACAAAGTGGGATCAATTCAGACAGCGTCAAAAGCAACCCTGGATAATACCGTCCTGACTTTGGGAGGAGCTGCTGGGTGTGTGGGGGGGGTCCCGGGGGGGGGGTCCCACCCACCATTCTGGACTCCAGTCAAGAGAGCAGCAGCTGCAGACTTCAAAAAAGGATTGGCGTTCTTCCCCAATGGAGGGATTTTTTTACCCAGATGCCAGGGAAGAAGGAAGGGGAGGGGAGGTGGAGAGAGGTCCCACAGGTAGCCAAAGACACTTTGGGGCCTGAGTCGATGTCCTTCCCTCCCCAAGTCATAAGAACGTAGTCAGTGCCTGCAGGATCAGGCCAGCAGCCCATTTAGACCAGCAGCCTGTTCTCCCCGTGGCCAACCAGGTGCCAGCGGGATTGGAGCAGAAATCTCTCCTCGCCTCCTGCGGTTTCTTTTCAGAAGCGTTGGAAATGGATAAATGACGCAAATAGGTTGGGACACAGATTCTCCTGGGTGCTTAATACCATATAGAGTGGTACCTTGGTTTAAGAACAGATTGGTTTATGAACAACTTGGATTAAGAACGCTGCAAACCTGGAAGTAGGTGTTTTGGTTTGTGAACTTTGCCTCAGAACCAGAACATGTTTTGCTTCCTGATGAGTGTGGGCAGACCGTGTGGGCAGTGCGGAGCCTGCATGCGCCCAAGCCACCGTGTCACTCCCAGGAGAGATGTGGGGCTCAGGCACGCTGCAAGTCCGGCGATGAGTGCCGCCCGGCATTTTGTCACCCCCCTCAGTGGTGACACCCGGGGCGATCCACCCCCACTGCACCCCCTTCCTCCACCCCTGCTGCTACCCACTTGGCACCCACTGCGCACGGAAGGCCCTGATCCCTTGGGCTCAGGAGTGTGCGCCCCTCTGCCTCCAGGAAGGCGACATTTGACACCCTCCTCCCAAAAGCTTGGCTTTTGCGCCAGACCCACAGGTGGGTGAGGGGCTACGGTGGTGAAGCCATGGGGGGGGGGTCTCTTCTCCCTTTGGAGACTCTCCCAAAGTGGCCCTTAGAGTCCCGTTTGCGCCGAAATCCCATTATGCATTCCGCCTCTGCCGGCCTGTTCTATCTTTATTCATGATCTCTTTGATTTCTCCTTCCTCCGATTGCGCCTTCTTCTCTCTCCCCACTTTCTTCCGATTATCTTTCTCCTTCCCGTATCTCAAGCTCTCTGTTGCTTTCTGCTCTTCTCCCGGTAATTGTATTGTCTCTCTCTCTTCCCCCTCCCCACCTCGACCTGCCCCTTGACAGGCGCCATCTCCCCCCACCAAGGCAGCTTCTCTGTCCCCCTTCCTCCTCCTTCGCTCTCTCGCCTCGTCCAACAGGCGCCTTTTCGCTTTCCACTTTCCACCGCAAACAAACAAACAAAACCCCCCAAAATCCCCTGAGAAATGGACCCCAGCAGCCAAGGAACTGTTTGCTCACGCCAGGGACTTATGTGTTTCCTTGTCTCATACAATTGACTCACCTTAAAGCTGTTTGCGGAAAGATGCTGCGAGAAAACAAAACTTAAAATCACAACAAAACACTTTAAAAACATGCAAAAGTTAAAATACCAAAACAGATTAAAAATTACCTCCTCGTTTTTCGCAGGTGAAGAAAAGAGGGCAGTGAAGGTGCCTGCTTGATCTCAATAGGCGGGGAGTTCCACAGGGTAGAGGCTAAACCACCGGGTCCTTACCAACGCAGAAAGGGGGTTGTGTGGCACCTGTAGACATGGTCTCCGACACCTCTGAAATGCCCAAGGAGGGGTGACCGGTGTGGGCACAGCCTGCGGGCAGCAGAGGGTCTGGGGCTGTGTCCAAGGTCAGCAAGTTGGAGGCTGTGGCAAGATTTATTTGGGGATATTTCTGGATCAATACTTCTCGGCAAGCAGAATTTCACAGCTCAGAGGAGCCCCATTGAATCAGGCCAGCGACCCATCTCAAGGTGGTGCATGTGGTTCTCCCTCTCCCCGCAACAATCCTGCGAGGTAGGTCAGCCTGAGAGGCAGTGACTAGCCCCCAAGGTTGCCTGGAGGATTCGAACCCTGCTCTCCTGGGTCCTAGTCCTCATTTAATGTCCACAACAATCTTGCGAGTTGGGTTGCTCTGAGAGGGAGCGACTGGGTCCCCGGGTCACACCCAGAGAGCTTCCTTACAGAGCGAAGGATTCGAACCCTGGTCTCCCGGGTCCCTTGTGCGACGCTCTAATTCTTACACTACACTTGCTCTCTATTACACAAAAGCCAATAAAAGTTATTTTAAAAAACGAACGACAAAGTACCTCCTCAAAAACAGGCGAAACCAGCCACAATGAACGAGGCAACTTGTAAGGCAGCACTGAGCTCCCAAGAAAATAAGACCATCCCTGTGGCTGCTGCTGGATCAGGCCCAAGGAGCCTGTCTAGTCCAGCATCTTGTTCCCACCATGGGAAGAAGCCCACCAGCAGGACCTGAGTGCAGCAGGGAGGGGGCACATTCCCACTGGGCCCCCCAAAGGCCTTTGCTTCTGGCAGGGCTCAGCCATAGAATCATAGGAGGGACCCCTGAAGGTCATCCATTCCAACCCCCTGCAATGCAGGGATCTCAGCTGAGGCATCCGTGAGAGAGACACGGGCTGGGAGGGCTGTGGCCGAGGGGTAGGGCACCTGCCTGGCATGCAGAAGGCCCCGGGTTCAGTCCTTGAACCCTGGGCAGCTGCCGTCTGTCAGTGTAGGCATCACTGAGGTGAGCTGGACCAGCGGCCTCATGAGGCTCGAGGCGGCTTCCTCTGGACGGTGGCCAGAGAGCATTGGTGCAAGAGGCCCTGCAGCGCTCCTGGGCATGCTCAGCCCTCGCCCGCCCATGCCAGTCTCCTCGGCTCCTGGGAGAGTGTTCCTTGCTCCCGCGATGTTGCTACTTCCTTGGCGAGAGCTTCTTACCTGAGGCTGTTGCTCAACTGATTTGTAGTCTGCAAAGTGGCAGCTCCAAGTGCTAATTGGATCATTTTCCTTTCCTGGCTTTCTTTGCACCAGATGGCGGAGGGTTGTGGCGCGGCGCCTGCGCCTGCCTCCTCATTGTCTTTTTATATTCTCCGCGGAAGCGTCGCCTTAACTCTTTCGAGGAGGCCTCTTCCGAGAACAATCGGTGCCCACGTTTTCTGGGACTGGTCCCCGTCCCTGGCACTGGCCGGGCAATGGGGGAAGAGGAGGAGCTTGGGGGGTGGAGAAGTCTTTTCATGCCACCCTGTCATGCCTGCTTGAACCCAGGCACTTGTCTCTCTCTCTCTCTCCTGCTCAGGCCGCATCTGGTTCCTGGTAGGATCTCTCTCTGGGCAGGCAATGCCATCCTCTGCAAAAGGGAGAAGAGGCCAGCGAGGGATTTGTAAACAAAAAATAGATGCCCCTTGGCATCACTTCTGTGGGAATGTTGTGGATCCTAGGAGAGGATATCTTGATTAAATATTACCCTTCCTCACTCATGCTACTGTGTTAGTAAAGGTAAAGGTAAAGGGACCCCTGACCATTAGGTCCAGTCGTGGCCGACTCTGGGGTTGCGGCGCTCATCTCGCTTTATTGGCCGAGGGAGCCAGCATACAGCTTCCGGGTCATGTGGCCAGCATGACTAAGCCGCTTCTGGCGAACCAGAGCAGCGCACGGAAACGCCGTTTACCTTCCCACCAGAGCAGTACCTATTTATCTACTTGCACTTTGACGTGCTTTCGAACTGCTAGGTTGGCAGGAGCAGGGACCGAGCAACGGGAGCTCACCCTGTCGCGGGGATTCAAACCGCCGACCTTCTGATTGGCAAGCCCTAGGCTCTGTGGTTTAACCCACAGCGCAACCCACGTTAGTAGCAGAGTGCATTCCCCTGTATATTGCAGAGAGCTAGTTGGAAGATTTGTTTGAATCTCTTGAGTTAAGCAAGTCAGTCTGGCTTGCCCAGCTTGGATCGTTCCTGGTAAATCCCCTTTGTTCCCTCTCAAAAAGAATAAAGACACAACAGTCTTCGTTCAAAAGTAATGATAAGAAGTTTACTTACATTCAGTTCACAGTATGATCCTGAAGGCAGTTACAGAAGAGAGTGTGGGTTCATCCCAGATGGGAATGAGCCCATGTGCTGCTGGCTAAGTGCCAGCAGACAGCAAAAGCATCAAGATGGAATAAAAAGAAGAAGAAGAAGGGAAGATGGCTGTGTGACCAGCCCTTTTATGGGGTCTGCCAGGGTCACGCCCATCTACCTGGTCCACGGCGGGGGAGGATGCTCCAGACCAGGTGTGACAGGAAGTCCCCCTGGCTGGAGTAACACCCCCCTGTGTGTCCATTCTGGGCAAACAGGAAGTGGTGTACTTGACTGTTACGGTGATGTTCCATCCCACACCTTCCAAACTTCTAGTCCTAGGATTCCAAGGCCCAGGAACTCAGTTTCCCACCAGAGCCCTAAGCAGTTACTCCTCAGGGCTCACAGGCTGCTTCCTGGGGGGGGGGGGGAGAGATACAGGACAAAGCCTCTGCTAGGACAGGTCCAGGACATTTTGACGCTTGAGGAAAAACAGAAAATGGTGCCCCCCATCACCACCGCCTCCTCCTCTGCCCCCCCCAGCTGACAGTGGTGAGTGGTCCTAGGATGAAGCAGAGTGAGGCAACTGCCTCAGGCGGCAGATGCTGACAGCTGGCAAAGGGAGCCCTATGTGGCCTGCTGAAATATACTTGGAGTCGAGTGTGGATTTCATGCTCTTTATTCAGCTCATAGTGGTGAGGAGGAATGGAAGTTCCCCCAGAATGTCTGCTTTATATACATTATTTACACAATGGGCCCCATGTGATTGGCTAATTCTGGGATTCTCCTGTAAGCCAATCAGGTTGCGGATTCACTTCCACCTGGAGCTGGATTGGGTGGCTCCTGTGGACCAATCAGACTGCTGCATTCTGGATCCTATTGTTCTAGGACCAATCAGACTGCTGCATTCTGAATCCTATTGTTCATAGAATCATAGAATCCTAGAGTTGGAAGAGACCCCAAGGGCCATCGAGTCCAACCCCTGCCAAGCAGGAAACACCATCAGAGCACTCCTGACATATGGTTGTCAAGCCTCTGCTTAAAGACCTCCAAAGAAGGAGACTCCACCACACTCCTTGGCAGCAAATTCCACTGTCAAACAGCTCTTACTGTCAGGAAGTTCTTCCTAATGTTGAGGTGGAATCTTCTTTCTTGTAGTTTGGATCCATTGCTCCGTGTCTGCTTCTCTGGAGCAGCAGAAAACAACCTTTCTCCCTCCTCTAGGTGACATCCTTTTATATATTTGAACATGGCTATCATATCACCCCTTAACCTCCTCTTCTCCAGGCTAAACATGCCCAGCTCCCTTAGCCGTTCCTCATAAGGCATCGTTTCCAGGCCTTTGACCATTTTGGTTGCCCTCCTCTGGACACGTTCCAGTTTGTCAGTGTCCTTCTTGAACTGTGGTGCCCAGAACTGGACACAGTACTCCAGGTGAGGTCTGACCAGAACAGAATACAGTGGCACTATTACTTCCCTTGATCTAGATGCTATACTCCTATTGATGAGGCCCAGAATTGCATTGGCTTTTTTAGCTGCCGCGTCACACTGTTGGCTCATGTCAAGTTTGTGGTCAACCAAGACTCCTAGATCCTTTTCACATGTACTGCTCTCAAGCCAGGTGTCACCCATCTTGTATTTGTGCCTCTCATTTTTTTGCCCAAATGCAATACTTTATATTTCTCCCTGTTAAAATTCATCTTGTTTGTTTTGGCCCAGTTCTCTAATCTGTCAAGGTCGTTTTGAAGTGTGATCCTGTCCTCTGGGGTGTTAGCCACCCTCCCAGTTTGGTGTCATCTGCAAATTTGATCAGGATGCCCTTGAGTCCATCATCCAAGTCGTTGATAAAGATGTTGAATAAGACCGGGCCCAAGACAGAACCCTGTGGCACCCCACTAGTCACTCTTCCCAGGATGAAGAGGAACCATTGATGAGCACCCTTTGGGTTCGGTCAGTCAGCCAGTTACAAATCCACTGAGTGGTAGCATAGTCAAGACCACATTTTACCAGCTTCTTTACAAGAATATCATGGGGCACCTTGTCAAATGCCTTGCTGAAATCAAGGTAGGCTACATCCACTGCGCTCCCTTCATCTACCAGGCTTGTAATTCTGTCAAAAACGAGATCAGGTTAGTCTGACATGACTTCTTTTCAGAAATCCATGCTGACTATTGGTGATCACAGCATTCCTTTCTAGGTGCTCACAGACTGTTTGGCTTAATGATCTGCTCCAGAATCTTCCCTGGTATTGATGTCAGACTGACTGGGCGGTAATTATTTGGGTCCTCTCTTTTCCCTTTTTGAAAATAGGGACAACATTTGCCCTCCTCCAGTCTGCCGGGACTTCGCCTGTTCTCCAGGAATTCTCAAAGATGACTGCCAGTGGTTCTGAGATCACATCTGCCAGTTCTTTTAATACTCTTGGATGCAGTTCATCTGGCCCTGGAGACTTGAATACATCTAAACCAGCCAAGTATTCTTGTACTATCTCCTTAGTTATTCTGGGCTGTGTTTCCTCTGCTGAATCATTTGCTCCAAATTCTTCAGGTCGGGCATTGTTTTCTTTGATCGGAGAAGACTGAGGCAAAGAAAGCATTGAGGAGTTCAGCCCTTTCTGTGTCCCCTGTTTGCATTTCACCATCTTCTCCTCTGAGTGACCCCACTGTTTCTTTGTTCTTCCTTTTGCTACAAAAACATACCCATAAAAGCCTTTTTTGTTGCTTTTAACCTCTTTAGCAATAATTAGTTCATTATGTGCTTTAGGTTTTTTGTCTTTGTGTTTACACGTGATGGCTATTTGTTTGTATTCCTCTTTGGTGGTTTTCCACCTTTTGCATTTTTGTACACATCCTTTTTTAATCTTAACTCAGTTAAAAGTTCTTTAGATAGCCACCCTGGCTTCTTTAGGCACCTTCCCTGTTTCTGTCACATTGGTATTGCCTGACGTTGTGCTTTTAGTATCTCCCTCTTAACAAACTCCCAGCCATCATGAACTCCCTTTCCTTTTTAGTATTACTGTCCATGGGATCTCACCCAGCACTTCCCTAAGTTTTATGAAGTCGGCTTTTAAAGTCAAGAAATTGAGTCCTTGTATGCTTGGCTGCTCCTTTCTCCGCTGTATAGTAAACTTCAGAAGAGCATGATCACTCGCGCCTAATGATCCTTCCACTTCTACCCCACTAACCAGGTCATCAACATTGGTTAGGACCAGATCTAAAATGGCTGTTCCTCTTGTTGCTTCTCCCACTTTCTGGACAATGAAGTTGTCTGCAAGGCCAGTGAGGAATCTGTTTGACCTTATGCTCTTGGCTGAGTTTGACATCCAACAAATATCCGGTTTATTGATGTTCCCATTACTACTATCACCCGTCCTTTGGCATGCTTGGCCATCTGTTCCAGGAAGGCATCATCTAGGTCCTCCGCTTTGGCTTGGGGATCTATAGTAAACTCCCACAATGAGGTCCCTGTTATTCTTCTCTCCCTTAATTTTGACCCAAATGCTCTCACTTTGGCTTTGAGGTTCTAAATCTTGGATCTCTTCACAGGTATACACATCCCTGACATATAACGCCACTCCTCCTCCTTTCTTGTCTGGTCTGTTTCTCTGAAATAGATTGTATCCCTCCATTATTACATTCCAATCGTGGGACTTATCCCACCAGGT